TATAGTGGTTCTATGCTACCGCTACGGATGCATTTCAATCAGAGATAGTTCAGTCATTAATATGATATCAATAATGTGTCTTCATCTACGCAGTCCGAGGGTTCAATAACGAAACACTTGGGGTAAATTTTATATCCTGTTTCGTTTTTAAAGTGATATCTTAGACGGTGAATATACACTTTACTTATGCTTTAGAGTTGTGATGGCAAAAGCCTGTATGAGTTTAAACAATATATGGAAAAATGTTCATGCAAACATGGGTCCCAAAATGTTCTGTTTCCGTTAATAAAACGGTAAATCATGCTTAAAATTTTAACTCGTTTTTCTGTTTGAAAGTATCCAAGTTAGAAATCCTGAACCATTGAAGTTACAATGTTATATCTACTATTTAAAGCGCGTAGTAACATCCATGTTACATTTCTGACTTGGCATCAAAGGGTGCCAGTTACAACAACTTTCACACGACATTTGTAGTTGTAACTTTTATCTTGTGTGTTTAACATACCTACAATAAATTTTGCTTCAAAACCTAAAAAAACAGTCATTTTTCTGTTAATCAGGTACTCTTGTAAAATTTCAGTATTTCGATCCATTAAACAAGAAAACAACGATTTTTTTTCAGATGAGGTAGATATTAGAACAACAAATGTTCCTGTGTTCTGAATAGCCCGCATAATAATTATTCCGCTGCATATCTTGAAATGTTTGTATGAACTTTTTCCATATCTTCCTATGGCGTCTGTTAACACAACTCTGAAGCACTCCGTATAAATAGACGAAACGTAACCAAAAGCAGATAACGAGTGTTGACAATTAATTGTGAATATATAATTAATTATATCAATCCCAAAAAGTAAACTAAACTAACTTATTGGATAAAAAATTAAAAACCAGTCACGTTTTAAAGTCAATATTATTGAACGTTATTCTGACAATTAAAATAAAGTCATTAAATTCTTGAAACTCAAATAACAGAGAAACAACCGAAACATTTCACTCAATTAAGTGTTGTATACCATTATTGAATTTGAAGCAACAACTTGAAGGTCTGTGTACCGAAACACTTACCTACCTGAGAACCCCAAACCTACAGCATGTTGATGATTTTTGAATACCAAATGGCAAATACTTTTCATAATGCAGAAAATATTACGAAGTTCATGTACCGTTTCAAGTATGTTTTATCAATAAAACTTGTGATGGTTTTTAGGAATTGGAAAAACTTCAGAACTAGCTCAAAAAACTGCTTCAGGCGAAGCTGGTAAAAAGGGCTACTATGGGCAACACTCCAGTGAAAAAGGGGAATTAGGACATCACGATAAAGAAAACCATAAAAACATATACGCAGAAGCGGGTAAGCATCAAAGTGTAAAATTAATGTCATTTGGCGTATCAAGTTTCGGCGCTAATGCGAGACTTTCTCCATGACCCGATGCACACATGTTTAGCCAAAACCAAAAATATATAATTTCTGGAGGTTGTTTGATAAGGTTCCCGCAACTTGAGTAACTACTAATTTAAGTGATACCCTAAACATCTTTTATCGCTACAAGTTCAACTTTTTTAACGGCAACAAGACTTTTGAAAACAATAAAATGATATGGTTTGGTTTTTGTATCTATTATTTATTGGCATTGCTACGTCATGAAGAGCAGTGTTGATAAATCTATAAACAAAATATGTCTTAAGTGAAAAAAACAGTTTTTTCGTTTAAATTCAAAAAATTTATTAAAGTTAAATTAAATGTCACATTTTGTTTTAAAATTTTCTTATCACTCTAAACTGCTGACTATTAAATTCTGTTAAGCAATTACTTCTCAATCAAAAAATCATAAATTGAGTAGATTTTATTTAGTTGTCGTCTGTTTTTGGTAAAGTTTGCTTGTTTTAGCCTGATAGTGTAACAAATTGCACTCAAGTGTTTTTTAAGTCAGTTGGTTTGTTTAGAGCGTGTTTTATAACATAGTTTTATAAATGGTGGGGTTTATAGAAAACCAATATTTTTCAATAATCCTAAATGGCATGATACGTTACTTGAACTTTTTAAAACTCATACATTTTACTACATACATTATACGTATGTACTCTCTGTATGAAATGGTTTATTTTAATTATTATGATTTTTTCTCTATAATCCAGTAATCCGAACATTCCAATAATCCGGCAGCTTCTGGTTTTCAATAGTGCCGGATTAGTGAGATCGTGCTGTATTATGTTTGATTTTAATGAAAATGAAGTTCAATTACTCATTTATTCACAAAGTTTATTATTAATTTTTTAATTATTCACAAAACTCATATATTCAAAGAAAATGTTTTGCTTCATCAGGTGGTAATAAGAAGTCTCATCATCATGACGATGGATACTATGCTGATGGTCATAAAGCCACTCATGACGAAAATGGTTATCATTTTGTCGACAAGGGCAGCTATGCGAAAGGGCACGACACTAAAGGTAGAATAATTGTTATCAATCCCTAATATTACCCAACATGATATCTTGATGTTTTTTATGGTAATAATTTTTTTTATAATGCCATTCCTTTAGGTCATCACATTGTTCAGCGACTGAATGAATTCGAAAAGAAGAAGGAATTCTTTGACGAAGATCACGATGAAGCTCACAAGGAAAGACATGGATCTTTTGACGTGGGTGAAGCGTTTAAAAAAGGTGAAGTGCAACATGGAGGTCATACCAACAAAGCTTCTACAGCAGAAAAATATGGAAGTTCAGCAAAATCAGAAAAGGGAGCGTTTAACGCTGAAGAAAGTGGACATGACAAATCAGCCGGCATCGATCAAAACTTTAAAAGTGCTGAAGAGCAAGCAAAGAAAGGAATTGCTGTTGTCTTTAAGGAAGTGGGGCTCAGCGATAAAAAAGTTTTATAGACTGAAAGTTTTTGATCATTTTGTGTAAATATATTTATTGTAGCTGGATGTAATTGAAAATATATGTTGTAGTTCTACCGAAATCTGGTAGCTTTATTTTGAGAAATGATATGCAGTTAGCTGATTGTGTTTGTTGTAGCGTTGGTTTTCTCATTGTGGTGTTTAAAACGTATAAGTCTATCTGCGAAACTAACAAAATTTCAAAAGAGTTTCCAAAAAGTTCGGTTAATCGTTTGACTAGGAAGTTTACAGAAGTCCTTCTTTTGTTTAAATTGTTGGACAGTTTCTGTTCAATTTTTATATGGTAAAAACTTGGCCGGACGACTCGCGTTTTTTGATTTGCTCTGATAAGCAGACAGTGGATCAAAACAGAAAATATTTGCATCACTACAAATTATCACAACATTAACTTCCATTTATTGATAACGGTATATTCTTAGGCATATATATGTAAAACGAAATTTTTTTGTTAATAATTATTGGCACAAAATAGTAATTCAGGTAATGTATTTTCTTGGGTATTGTATGGATGTTGGCTTCTCAAAAGCTAGAAGACCGAAGCGTTGAAAATTGAATCTTTTAGATAAATCATTTTAAAAATGTACATTACAAAAGTCTTTACGCGGAAAATATTAAGAACACTAATTTCTTCTGCGAATTCAGTAGAATTAATATACAGAGACAAAATGGACAAACAACCCCCACAACTGGACCATACTGAATCCCCTTTGCCTCACAAGACCGACAAAACACTCCCGTTTCCGTTCCCCAACAGATACTTTACTAGAACACCTACAAACGCAACTGAACTAAGGACTAATATCTGTTTGTTTTGTAAGCCAGGAGTTTTTACTTTTTTTTTTTTTTCTTTGTATAGCTGATTAATTTATACGAACGTTAGGAATAGGAATTAATTTTAGAATAAGCTAGGCTAAGGCACATATATACTAAACAA